AATCCTGTGCTTTCTTGAATACAGTAGATGTAGGTTCAAATCATGCTAACAAAAGAATTCTAAAAAAACATTTAAGTGCGTGCGTACTTTCATGAAGATAGGATGCAGTTGGCTCGAGTAATTTCTGATTTGAATGAAATAAAAAAAAGATTTAATAACGATCAGTGGCATAAATTTTTGATTGATCTTTCTTTTTCTATTCTTGTTTTCGTGCATTAGTGATTCGTATGTGAGCAACGGTCGATATCGATATCGATATCTTCCCTGTCCAAAACTAAATGAAAGCCATCCGATATTCGAAAATCCTTTAACCGAGGAGCCATTGCTACTCTACATTACCATTAGAGTTCCAAATAAAATATATAATAAAAGTTAAAGTCAGCAGAAGTTGCAAGTCTGTCATCGCAGCTAAAGCGTTAGTATTATTATATCCACTTCTCAAAAGTCTGTAAATCAGGAAGTAATTATTAAAAAAAATTTGAATTATAGTTGATAATGCTATTCTTTCCATCGTGATGATAACGCAATAATATCACTCATCGAAATTGCTCCAAATCAATTTGGATTGGCACACTTAGATCCTATATTCTCTACGTATTGACAGTTGTTCGATCATTTCCTGATGGCTCATGAGGAATGGCTACAAAATTTCTCATATTTGTTAGTAAGAAGTGTTGGACTGCAGTCACTGATAGGCTTTATTAGATCGTACATGAATACCATATGATCATTTATTATCGCAAAGTAATGCAACACCACGCAAGATCCAAAATTCTGGTGGTCTATTCGTTGGAAGCGAAAGGGACACAATGAAGGTAATATATGTTCTCATCGGTTTCTTGTACACAGGGCACTGAGAAAGAAGAATGTGAAGTTGCATAAATATGATGGTACGCTAACTGGTACAAAAATCATAGTGGGCTCATGTTACCTCGTATAATAGTTTCACATCTTTCACTATTTTGCCACTTAATGCAGAAATGAGGATCACTGGCATTTCAACATGGAGGATTTTATTTATTGATTCTCGAAGGCGATTATTCCGTCGATCCCATCCACCACCCTCCAAGAACAATCCGTGAACGTATACACCTTCCTGTTTAACAAAAATATAAAGAAATTTATTATGCTGGCTTAAAAGTCTTTCCCTGTAATTTTTTCAAATCTAGAATTCTTCGTAGAAAAAATGTCAGCAATAGCCACATGTAATGCACGTAGAGAAATTTTCCAAAAAAATGAATGAATTTACCACTTAATAACATAACTAACAGGAATGAAGGATAAATTTGAGTCGGACTCTGTTCGATATTGAGGCTGATCAGAGCAAAAGGGCCAGGCGGTAATTATCGGCACAATTCGGGGATGGGCTCAGGCGCCATGAGGCGTGGAGATGACCGATCCGAACACTTCGTAGTTATCATGCACCAGATATGCATCGCAAAATTCGTGGTTTTCATTGGATTGTTATCACTTGATAAGGTGTAAATAGTGTATAATATGTATAATTCATCAATAGACAAGCTTGTTTTATTGCTCAATTCACCGGTTTATTTTGGTCTCGGATGCTCATCTTGCCTCTTCCCACTTTCTATCCGCCCTACTCCGGAAAAAAACAAAAATTTCTAACAGATCCAATCAAAACGTTATCGAGGCC